GGAGAGGACACTACACACGCAGGCACACAAGCTTCTTACATCACACACTCGCGCAAACTTCAATGAGATACCTACCTCAAACTTCACGGAGACTTAAACATTCATTCTCTAAGCCACCTGACTTCTGTTTGGTATCACTCCCAGTTATACAGGTTAGACTATCTACACGGGGAGGCGGAGGAGGTGGGCCGAGAGGGCGGACAGATTTCCGGACGAATACTTAGGATGGCGATAACCGCTTTCTGTTGTCAAAGGTTGCGTTGTCTGTCTCTTTCCCCTGCCCTTTTTGCCTTAGTGTCCTACGCACAGTTATCTACAGCTACAACATGTGTTTCCTCGGAGTGGATTTTGGGGCTTGGGGGGTGGCAAGAAAACCAGAAGCCGGCCACGCAGAGCTGTCACCGCCTCCGGAACAAGGCACAACTCTCCGAGGGGGACGCATCCTGGGGATCCGTGCGTCGGCCGGCGAGCGGCAGACGCTCGGGCCCCTCTCAGACTCAACGCCCCTCTCGGTCGGCCCAGCCGAGCGCCCTCCTCCCGCTCCTCCTCCGCCCCCTCCCACCCCAGCCTAGCACGGAAGCCCGCCCGGGCTGGGCGGCCGCGGCTCCCGGCAACCCGCACCCTCGCCGGGCTCCGCGCGCTCAGTTCTAGTCCCTCCGCCTGTCCTACCCTAGCCCCCAAGTCCGCGCTCAGGAAAACTAACCCCGGAGCTGCCAGGAAGGGCAGGAGCGGAAGGCGCGGGGGACGGGGCCCGGCCCGGGTTCCTGCCCCTGCCCCTCCGGCTCCCCAACAGGTAGCTCACACGCGGGCCGCGCGCCGCTCTGCCTCCCTCGCTCTCTAGATCGCTCGCTCCGTCCCGGTTACCTGGGCGGGCTCCAGGACGGTACCGCGCGGGAGGGCTCCTGGTGCGCTGCGCCGCGAGAGTAAATGGCATTAAAGAAAAAGGGAAAGATACAAATAAAAAAATTTCTTAAGGAAGGGGAGTCGATGCTAGGTCAATTAGCACAGCCCCGGGAGCAAGGGAGCAGCACCCCCCCCCCACGCCGCNGGCGCAGCCCGTTAACTCAAGTCAGTGGGGTGTCCCGCCCCGGGCGGGGGAGCGCTGACCCGCAGAAGTTTGCCGCCGGGGTGCCGGGAGGTGCGCGCAGAGCGGGTAGACTAGGGATTTCCCCCTTGAAACAAGTGAAGGCGATGGTTAGTGCTGTCAATCTTGGCAATCAGTGTGAGCGGCCATGTCGTAAGTATTCAAAGCATTTCCCGTCGTGCAACATCAGAAAGTGAGTGGCCAGGGCATTGATCTGAGCGAGGGAGAGGAGGCAGGGCTCCCCTCCCAGACAACACAGGCAAGATGAGACAAGAGGCGAGGGAGGCGGCGAGCCGGGCGGGAGGCTGGGGGCGGGGAAGGAAGGAGGGAGAGCGGGAGGCAGAGGCAGGAGAGCTGGAGAGGGCAGAGCCCGGCGGAGCGGAGGCTGGAACTGCAGGGAGCGCCTGGGAAGAGAGTGAAGCGACTGTTAGGAGGGCGCTGGAAGGGGACAAAGAAGAGGGGGCGCCGGGGTCGGGGAGAACGGGGACAGGAGTTAGGTGGGGGGAGGCCGAGGGGCAGAGGGCCCGAGGGGCGCTGCTAGGACGGGGCTGCAGGGAGGAGGAGTCGAGGGGAAGGCCGACGCCGTGGGGAAAGGTGGACGGCGGGGGAGAGGAGGGCGAGCGGGGAGGGGGAGAGGTTCGCGGGACAGGGGAGTGCCGGGCGGTGGCTGGAGCTTTGAACGAGTTCTGTGACTGCGGCTACGGGCCGGAGGTGAGAAGCACTGAGAGGGAGAGCTGGGCCACAGGAGTGAGTCCTGAGAGATGCAGGGAAGCGGGAGGACGGGGCTGTGGCAGAGCAGGAAGGAGGAAAGAAGGGTGAACACTAGCTGAGTAATAAGCAGGATGAAGGAAAACCAAAAAGAGGAGGGGTCGAAAGAGAGCCGAGAGGTGCAGGAGGCAGAAATAAGGAAACTCACCGGTGAGCAGGATCTCAGTAGGTGGGAGAAGAGAAACATAAGTTAAAAGATGCAGGAGGAAGAATTGAAAGGAAAAAAAGAAAAAGAAATTGGCATAGGAAACTCTCCACTTATGAAGGTGGTAATGTTCTGGAGGCCATGTGGATTATAAAGTTTATGAATGAAAATTATTATAAATAAGACTGACAACCTACCAAAAAATGATTATACCTTTACAACAATAAATAAAACAGTTCCACATGAATTATATGGATGAGTTTGTGTTATGTGGAATTGGGTGGGTGATATATGTATACGATCTCAACTTTGTATAGGAACAGATTTAGAGAAACAACTTCAAGAGGGTTGGCTTGGAAATTATAGAAATGAAAAGTATTTCAGTCACCCAGGACAGCATGTAAAACTCCATAACTCAGGTGTAAAAAATTATGTAAATAAGACTCCCCCCCAAAAAAAATACATAAATTAAAGATTCTCTTGGACGCATGTGTACGATAGATCAAAGATTTGAAGGGTAAAGGTGGGCTAAAGAAGCAAAGACCTGGAACTTTATCTCAGTGCAAAAAAGCTGGGGGACTGAGAAGGGAGAGAATAATCATGAAGTAAGGTAGTAGAGATGCAGAGTAAAAGAGACAGATGAGAAAACCAGCTTTGAGGGTCACAGACACAGAGCTAACTAGAGGCAGTGTCTGGAAGGTGAGGTTGTCCTGCCTTAACCCGGGCCCAAAGAAAAAGACTAGATTTGAGAAACTGAGGTCAATGGAGAGTCAAATTTACATCAAGATTAAAAACTGGGAGAGAGGTTCTGACTAGCATGAGCTACAGAGGTTTGTGGAGGGAGAGGTCCTTACTCTGTAGAAACTGATCGGAGACGGCCACTTTGAGACACTTCATAAACAGACACTTCATGAAAGAAAATATGGACCAGAAGAGAGGGGTCAGGAGTTATGACTAGAAAAAACAAATATAGAAATCTAAAGTTGTCACTTTGAGGAAGACCTCCCACAGATGAAAGATAAAGGGGAGAAAGCCATATCCTTGTTACGTTAACTCTGAGGAAGACGAAGAGAGTCAGCAAGCATGAAGACGGAACAAGCTAAGGTGTCAGCCACACACTGGCTTCTTCAAGTACACTCCATGTTTGGTTTCACATGGATTCCAGAGAAGGAAAGGGGATAGAAATAAGGATGGTGGTGACCACCTCCGATTAGTGGGACGGAAGGAATGACTAGATGCTTCTACCACAGTAGGAAATATGATGCTCATATATTGGGAGCTTGGGGACTGTAAGTTAGAGTGACTTGAAGACTGTTAGCTGAGAGGAGAGCTAGTCCCCAAGAAGAAATTTTGTGTCCCCATTGCCCACAGCGACTTTCAGGACTGAAAAGTCTGCCTCTGGGAGCCAGAGCCTAGAGGCAGGCGAAGGAAATGCCTGGCACCTTGCATGCCAGCTTCTTCCACCCGGCTCCAAGAACTGGTGTGCCCTTGACCTCCAAGGCCCAAGGGGCAAACCCAGACTGGTGTTCCTAGCCTAGACTGGGGTCAGTCTCTTCTGGGATTTGTTTCTGTTTTTGTGAACAGTGTGGCCGGGCCCAGCGCTGGGATCCAGAGCTCTTGGGCCGCCTGCCCTGGAACTCAACCACAGGAGCCAATCTCTCCAAAGTCTAAAGGCGTCAAAATCAAATGACCTGTCCTAATGCTTGTAGAGTTAGGGCAATGAGTAGAGGTGGTACTTCTAAGTCCCAAAGCCTGAATCCTCAGGGAAGAGCTACCGAGGAAGGTGAAACATTCCCGACGGAAACGCTGGGGCTCGACTGGATTCCTCAGAGTTGCTGCGACAAGTTTGACTTCTCAAGTACCAGCGCATCCGTCTCTTTAAATCACATAGCACCGGGGAACCTAGGGGGTAAGACTGACCCTGCCAACAAGATGCAGGCCGCTGGTGGAAGGCAAAAAAAGGGGGGAGGAGGTGACATTACCAAGATCTCTGGTATCCAAGGCCCTAAGGGTGAGCCACGGTGGACCATCCGGGAAGGAGCTGCAGGAATCCTCTTTAGATTTCATCTAATAAACTGATACCAAAGTACATAAATAAGGCGGAACCTGGAGCTGTCACAACACTGATGCCTAAAGCAAGGGAACTAAAGTTTGGGGTCTCCGTGCGGCACTTCAGGCCATGCACCGGGTGACACGTGGCCCTCGGGAGCAGTGGGGGGCACCCTGGGGGGTTTCCTTTCTAGCCTCTCGCAGGACTGTACAGCGTAGGGGGCAAGGCGAAGAGCGCTGCAGCGGGCTTAAGCGCGGGGCTCTCCACCTGGTCCGCACTGGCCCGCGGGCTCCGAAAAGTACCAGAAGTAGCAGAGGACACCCAGGCTCCGCGGCCAGAAACCGGGCACCTAGGACAGAGGCTTATTTTCCGTTCGTGTCGGAATGCCGCACACCGCAAGAACCCCGGGCGAGAGCTAGGGGAATCAGAAAGGGAAGGAGGTATAAGCAGATAGGGACTGACTTACGTGCCCGCAGCTGTCGCTGCCTCCGTGCTGTCCAGATGTCCCTGCGCACTGCAACCAGCAAAGGCAACTGGGCTTTGCTAAGTTTGGCCTCGCACCTCCAGACAAGAGGCGCGAACCCGCAAAGGCGAGGAGTGCGCGGTTCCTGGAGAGAGGTCCCCCTGGACTTAGGAAGGGTAATGCAAGGAATTCTGCTAGAGAAGTTAATATTTAAAGCACCCACGCAAAAAGCATAACGACTGTTAAAAACCTCCAACTCTCGCTCGGATAGTCTCTTTACACCAGCCGAGCGGACAATTCAGATCTACATGACTTCATCTTAAGGTTGCTAACTTCTTTCAGGAGGGACTTTATAGCTACTGTATAAATAAGATAAATATAAATGTCTTTACTTCCAAAACACGGGGAATGAGAACTTTTACTGAAACGAAGAATTAGTAAAAGTGTATAAAATACCAAAAGGGAAGAAGTTGACAACTTTAATTGCAGCATGGAGAAAAGTTTTAGCAATTGGCTTCCTTAAACAGGGATAGCAAGCATACCATCACTCCAGCAGTCCATCGCACTTCATTTCAGTTTGTGTAACCAAACAACCCAAACTCCCAAATAACAGTGCCCTTGGGACTCTGCCTCAAGAGGTCGGAACTCGTGTTTCAACAATAAAAGCAAAAAACAAACTGTGAATAAAGCTCTGCGTTCTATGAGATGTCATTTTGCAAAAGGACAAGGCATTGTCCCTCAACTTTAAATGGACAGAGAACAACATTCAATTTCATTTGAATCCGAGAGTCATCCTGTTGGGAAGACCACAGAGGTAGCAACAGTAGCAGCAGCAGCACCGTCACAAAGGAGGTAGGGGAAAGTAGTAAAAATGCATGAACTTTTCTCAAAGAAAAATAAAGATAAATCAAAAATAAGTTTTACAGCTATGTCTTTCCTGGCTTAGGAAAGTTAATTTTAAAAGTGCTCCCGCTGTCTAAGGTGCGAAGCCGAGGCTAGGGGAGTGCGTGGCTGGAATCTGCATGCTGATAAGAGAAGGCTGATGTACTTACAGTGACAGAGGGCAGGCTGCGGGAGGAAAGCTGTTTGTGTCAGCCTGCGAGTTACCCGGGGCTGCAGTGAGAGCAGGAGGGAGGAGTGGGAATGCCAGTCTGCGCACACCTTCACCGCGTCTCATTACATCTGCCAGCCTCTCTCTCCCTCTTTCATTTCCACATTCCCTTTGTTCCTGAAAAAAAAAAATCTACACGTCACATCAGAGTCCCCAGATGCAGTCTACACCAAAGAAAAAAAATGAATAATTCAGTCAAACTGTGCATAGTCTCTAAGGCAATAAATCTATTGCACTTAAAGAAACGAAGGGTAATTACCACCATGGAATCAGACTAAGGCCAAAGACCCAAGACGCGGTGGGGTCTCCGGGTAAACTCCGGTCAAATAAAGTTTCATTTGCTTAATCCTTTTGACGCCTCGGATGAAAAGTCAGGGGAAGATTTTTCACTTATTTTAAAAGGATGTTCACTTCTTTTAAAACACAGTTTAGAAAGGGGGTAAAAAGAAGGGGAGAAAAGGCTTAGGGCGTCCCACCCTGCTGTAAAGGCTCCCAAAGGAAGCAGCACAGAGCGGCAGGGACAGGAGCCAAGACAGTGTGTCCGGGGATCCCGTGCAAACACCATCCCACCCC